ATACAGCTTATTCTGTAAATCCTTTGCTGATATTCTGTTTTAATTTATTGCCAACATATGAATACAATTGCATTTTACTCGGAGAAATGCGAAATAAAGCGATGATACTTTCAGCGATAAATATAATGAAAAAGTTACGAATACATTGTCTAAAAACGAAAAGTTGTACGTGTAAATTATATTATAGTAGTTGATTACAAAAGACAACAGATAACAAAATGAAGTTAAGTAATTGTGTTCAGAATCTATTTTACAATAGAAGTTGAGAATTTGAAAATCTTTCCCATATGAAATTTATTCTATCTTCTGCCTGCCATTCTTTGATATAAGAAACAATAAATACAATTATTTATCTCATCTTTGAGAAATGCATCTTATAGTTATTAAGTCTGCCATAAACAAATTTAGATATAAAACTAGTGTAATACCTAGATTGACTCTAACAAGACTATATTATGTGGAATGTTGTTCATAACAATGATTGCAGGTAATGGAGGCAAATGGCGATGGCAAACAAAGTTATTCACGACCATTCCACTAATAGGGAAAAGAACAGTTACCCAATTTGTTTATAGGTATACCTTGAAAATGTTAACAACATATTCGGATTTCAGATTTAGGTCATTGATATAAAGAGTATGCGAAGCTAACAGGGGTCAAGTGTTATTACTCTCTTTAATGATACTTAAATTGATACTTCGATATTTATTATATCCGGAGCGATAGCGTGGAAAAAATTACTGTCATTCCTGTTATAGATGTATTGAGATAGGAAATACGTTTTGTATGTTTTCTTATCAACTAATGATTTACAAATATATTTTCTCGTGTTAAGGTTGCAGCAGTTATTGTGTTAACCTATATAACAAAAAAAATCTGTAACGTAGCTTTTTTAAATATTTGAATTATTCAAGAACTAATTGCAGTCTATTGTCTATGTATAAAATTCAATACTTTATAGTAATAATAGGATCAAAGTAGGATTAAGTACAAGACGAAGCTTACGTGAAAGTTGTAAGCTTAGCTTAGTTCCTGCACGTCAGCGAAAGAACAATAGGAGATAAATGGCTTGTGTACATATTCATAGGCGAGGCATCGAGTTATCATCAGACATTGAGCCCTTATAATGGCGCCAGTGTGACCTGCATATCGTTAACTATTAGCAAACAGAAGTGACATGGAGTCACTTTACGATCAATAAATTTAGCAATTAAATTTATCGTATACAGTTGTTAATTTATGTTATCTCAGCACTAAAAAAAACTTGCTTAAAAAAATTGTGATCCGGAAAACGAAATTTACTTTTTTATTGAAGTATAAAATTTTGCATTTAACAGACCCTAATAGCTGTACGGACTTTATTTTGCGCATTGCTTTCGCCACTTAAACGAGATGACATAATCTCTGAGTATGGAAAGGTCGTATTGATAAAAAGTCTTCCTGTATGATACAGTCGGGCGCGATGCGACGTCACCTCCAACGAAATCACACAGGAAGACGTAATTTGTTTTATTTTATTCTAAGATAAATGCACTTTATCCATTACGAGATATTTTGGGTGCGATTTTTTTGGCTGTTGCGATCTGGAGTTGGTGTTTAGGACTTAGAATAAAATCAAACTTAACGGTTCAGATGTTATATTATTTAAATTGAGTAGTTTAAAAGTAATGCGATCTTTACATACAGTGGGGAATCTTTGGAAATGTTTATCGTTTATGAAACAAAGACCATTTTAATATTGCAACTGATAAAAAGAATAACGATATAGGGTTCTATCTTAAGGCGTCATTCTATTAAGGCTTTGTCTTCCCTCAATAGAATTGACCCAATTACAAATAGCTGCAGCGCAAATAGATCGTAGCCGTCTGTCACTGTGTGGCCTAAATGAGTATATAAAATATTGTAGCTACGTTGTTCGACAGATTAACAAAAACAATGTATCTAAATAAATATAAATAACTCTAACCACAATTTTCGAAAGTCAGCGCTTTATAAGCAGATATATATATTTAATCAATGCTAACCTAACGACCGGCTCATCTATGTCGAGAGCCCTTCAAATGTCAAGAGTTGATCTGTTTATAACAATATGCCTACAAACACTCGAGCCGTGCCACACCTACATAATTGATGCCACAATTAGTTCCTGCCCAGCTTGCATTCTTCAAGTTGAACTTTATCTATGCTAACTAAAATTCAGTGTTAGAAAGGGAAAGGTGTAGAAAATTCTCTTTGCATTGTAACGTTTTCTCTGTCATGTAACATTGAACGATGTTTTTCTCACATGTTTATACGAAACGTATTAAATTTAATAGGCATTAACATTGACAATGACGCAATGTTATAAAGGACAGTGTGAATTAGTAGCCACATAACAATAATGCATTCATCAGTAGTCTGCAAATGACATGTATCGTAAACTAAACTTTATTATCTATACGATGTATTGAACAAAATAATAAACAAGAATGATTTCAACGACAAAACTCCCTGTAACAGCAGTGGTAACTCACGGTTAGTCTTTTCCAAGTTAACGTTCATGATTTATACAGAAATATATATTGCATACTTGCTGCGGCCCATGATGTTTTACCAGACTATGTTTTGTATTTTCGTACATATGCGTTTTAGCCTTCTAACACTTATTCATCCATCCATACATCTAAACATTCGCATTCATTAAGGTAACAAACAAACACCACGACTTATAAGTATAGAAAGATAATTTTTTAACTCCTAAACATTACATACACATATAATATGTTCATATATAAATTGTAAAAACATCGTAATATTAAAAACACTCCATCCCCAGTTTATCTGCCACCGCAAACATAGAAACAACGGCTGCTGCAGTTGAATAGGCAATGTGATAGGAATAAGTGAGGAAAGTCAGACGGGAGGTGTCCTTGTGTTCGGAGCGATGTTTCCCCTCGGCGCATCGAGTGCTAGACAAGTGCGGGACCCATTGTTTTGGAAGGTATTCGCAAGGGCGGAAAATCGAAATCGGCAAGCACAGTGAAAATATTCTTTATTTGCTCATATAATCCACAGACTAACAGATTCTTTGAATATTTAGTTGTTTTATTTGTTAATTTTATTGTAAGAATTTGTTCTATGTTAAATAACAAGAATTTCCTTATAATGTAGGAAATGTATAAAATAAAACACTATCAACATGGTTTAAAATAAACGAAGTTGCTGATTGTTCACAAGACAAACCGCTATTTGTATAATTCAATGTCTAGATAACCTACGACACGAAATGACGTGACCCGCAACCATGACGTGATAAATTATAAAAACAATCATTTAATTTATTTCAATAGTCACATAATGAATGGGCTCGTTTACGTAATTTATTAAAATAACCGTTAAATTAAACGCACCGGTTTTACTGTGTCAGTTGTCTATGACACTGAGACAGATTATCTCCCCACTAAAATATTGTCGTTTAATCGAACCACAGACGAGATTTGTGGGGACAAATAGGCCGTGTCAATCCCCAATTGAACTTTTTAAATCTAATTTACTCCATTTGTATTAACGATGATTTATTGTTGGTATAGAAACTACTGCGTAAAGTCCAATTTCAATCAAGTACGTATATTTTTCTGTTCAATAAATATTTGTGAATTTTTTATTACATAGGTATTTCTTATAGGTTATCAGAGTAAATGAGAATGATTTTAGCATCGAGCCTGCATACATGTATATGTGTGTATGTTGATTCAAGATAAATATTTTACATTATAAATCTTGAACAATCGACTGCTTCGACAATACTAATTGATAGGAATGTCAATTAGGATTACTAAAAGCTACAAACTAAACTTCATTGAATAAGGTATTACAATCGACTACATTTCAAACCTTTGTACGAATTCATATTAATGATCCTTTATATTCAAAACCTGTTGTTGCCGTCTATCAAGTTGGTATTTAAATATCACTAAGCTATACATCTCAAGTTCATTTCGAGGTCAAAATGTATTAATTAATTTGTTGTGTCCGTTGGAATTTAAAAATATATTATTCTCTATATCATAATCTCGTTAATATTATTTGGATTTTAATACTTTTAGTAATTTTGTCTTTTGTTAAATCATAATTTCTATTCAAAAATGTTCTGTTTAATATTTGTAAAGGTTGATAAAATAAATTGGTACACGTATTTAAGTAGTATTGAAGGACAATGATAATTCTAATATGATTGTATACTCTTTGAGTGAATCAATTAAATCGATTGCTCCTGGCGCCGACTTGTCCACGAGTACATTATTTGGTATGTGAATACGTTATGCGGATATTATACCTTGATATTAAAAGCATTACATTTTATATTTAATTTAATAAAATTCATTAAAACATATTGAATTACAAACGCAATTTATATAGCAGAAATACATTTATAAAAAGGCCTTGTTAAAAGGTACTTATTACGCGAAGGTAAAATAAGCATAAATAATTTTATAAACGAAATTGAATTTGTCAGAGCTCGCTACATCGCATCGCTTCTAACGTAATTATTTTGTGCTAAAATCGAATCAAAACGTCTAAAAATATATATTCTGTTACAAAAATACGCTCCCAAATTTAAATGTATTTTATCTTAACTCTAATGTACTCCAAAAAGTACATTATTTAAGGCACAATTTATTACAGGAGGGTGATGAAGATAGCACACGAAACGCAGAGAATATCAACGTAAACAAAACAAAATATATCGAGTCCCAATTCGAATTTCTATTTTTTATACATAAAAGAGTCAGGTTCTATTAAGTAGGTGTCATTTACGTTTAAAGGATAAGCAGGAAACAAAATATTAGTAATCACTAACAATAAAAATTAAAATCAAACAATAAATAATCTGTGAAGAAAAAGTCACTAAGACTGCGTGGATGTAAAAGATTCATCATGATGAAAGTTAAATGTTGTCATCAGTCTTTGTTTAAATTTTACCACTATAAAGAGAACTTTAATATGTTGTTTTGTTGAAGGTACTAAGCATGAAGGAGATACGAAGTTATGCGAGAGGATGGTGGATGGTGTTAATAGTGGCCACACTCGCCGGCCTCGTGGAGTCTGACGCCGTCAGCCTCTACAACTCTCAGCTGAAGCAAATTGTAACATCAAGCACACTTAAATGGACCACCTTGAAGAAAGAGGCTATGGAAAATTACGTCACCGGAGTTGATTCTCCTCAAGGTAATTTGGGTTAAATAACTAACTTATTTACACTACTGACCACAGTACCTAAATGAAAATTATCTATACTATGTAATTTAAAGTGTTTTGAATTTGCACAGAAACAATGTCTGGCCCTTTAACATTATTAACTTATCACATGCAAGTCTCATGATCCACTTTGTTTCAGGACCAATTTATCTTTGTCGGTCTCGTCACGAGGGTGATATGCTACTTGGCTTGTTAAAGTCCGATTATAAATCATGCGCAATCGCTGGAACAAAAAACTACGAAATTTTTGAAGTCCTTGAAAATATTGAAAATGCATCGCTGCTAATATGGAAGCCGTGGGGCAAGTATCATGCAAAGCCGAGTGGCGCTGTTACTATCGACTCTTCGGTCGATTCCGCTTTTATCGGCAGAATGAAAGCAGATGGCGCATATTCGCACTACATAGGTAGAATTAATTACGACAGCACAATCGGACATTTGATTACTTTCGATGACCAGAATAATGAACTTGTAGAAAATAGTGGAGAAATTCTTGTTGAAATCGAACCTATCAGTTATAGAATTGAAAACGTACACGTGGACGCGGAAACAGAACACATCAGACAGACTGACCCGCAAGTATTCGAGGAACGAATTTTACGAAACGAAGATGAGACTGGCGCCACGGTCACCACGGAAATTGAATACAAGTATAATTACAGTATATCCTGGGGACATGGGCATGGTATTGCTATCGGCTTGAACACTACCATAGTGCTAAGCGACGGAACTGTACTCCCGCAGATAGAATGGGCTAATCCGTATACGGAAGAAAAAAAGGAACTTTACAAATTGGAGAAGTACCTCGAACCGGGAACTGCCTGTAATGTTACTTTCAGAGGTTATTATACAAATAAAGATGTTCAATACACCGGTAAGCTAATTACAAATTATAAAGAAAATGCACCAAGGTCTCGGCCAATGAGGGGTGAAAGAATCGAAAATACCGTGGAAGTAGAAGCTGTTTATGGTGAAATATATTACCTTGTCAATAACACATTGGTGCCGACCACCACAACTACTACAACAACTACAACAACCACGACAACTACTCCACCACCGCAAACTGCCCCACCGGCGCCAGAGGAAAATGACATAGCGAGTCCCATGAAAAAAATGAATTCTGGTGAAATTGACAGCAATGATATGATGGGAGATAGCAGCGAAGGAATGGTGAAAGCAGCTAAAGAAGACAACATCAATCGTTCGGTAGTCGGTGGACTCGGGAGCAAACCTAACGCGGCCACGGCCCAAGTAATTACCACGGCTTTATTTATCCCGGTCTTCGCGCTTCTTATTTAAGTATGAAGGTTACAGTATTTTTTGTATATAGTAAAACAGAAGAATATCATTGATATAGTCGCTTTCAAGTTTAAAATGTAGTGATTGTCATCTAAGCTTTATGCTGTTGTTTAATTGTGTGGTAAGAATACCCTTTGGGTAATGTATATAGATTTTTATTTTATATTTTAGACATTCCTGTTAAATAATTTCATTCCAGTATGTAAATTATTGAGCCAAAATTGAACAGACGAGTGTAAATAAATTATGTATATAGTTAAGAATACGGAAGTCGCAGAGCGACGGGTTACATCTGAACGTCACAAATGTTAAGCTGATGGGAATCGTAGAATCGATTCATGAGTATAAAGTCACTGTTACCAATACACAATGTACTAAACTACAAACTAACTAAAATACAAACGAAAACTCTTATCACTAGAGTAATGAAATATTTATCCAATGCTATGCTGTTCAATTTAACATAGAAAAATAATTATATAGCCGTTTTCAAAGATTGCTTGTTATCAGGTACAAACACATTTTAAGTAATATTAAACATTCTAAAAACAGAGTTGTATCCCAAATAAATTAAAAAATTATATTCGTACTGCTAAAATTGTAATTGAAAATCATAAGTACTTTAAGAGCAGCTAAAATTATATATTTCTTCCATAACATTGTAATGATTTTATTTATTAAAGCCGATATTCTTGAATAGTTCTGTACTTTTATGTTGTTATTCTTAGTTATAAGATACAAGAGTTTAAATCCAGAATTGAAAGATATTATTTTATTTAAACTTGTAGGATTAATGAATATTTATTTTGTTTTAATTTAAGGTTCGTTTAAATAAGTTTAGTTGTACACGACACATTTCAATATTCAAATATTACTTTCTTGGTATTGCCAAAGGACAACCTATATTTATGAAAAAATATTTACCTATTTCAATTTTCTATCCCTCCGTCAAAAAAGGCTATTAATCATCGCAATATACCCAGATAGAATAATAATATTGTAATGCTTAGCGATGGTCAGACTATGTGTAAAAAAAAAAGATATTTTTATATATTCATACTATGTAAGTGTTCGCTCTACGGATAAGCTGTTAAGGTACGATTGGACTACGACATAAATATCGAGATTAATGTCTGTATTGTTCAAACTTCAGGGTTTGACGCAACACTTATCATTATATCGCAATAAATTTGACAATCAGAGACACTTGTGTTCACACAGAGACATTATATATATACACGGAGTGCACTGTGTATAGTGTAGTAGTCAAATCATACCTTTACATTAAAATAATCATCATAAATTTAGTTATTCGCTTAAAAGAGTATTTTCAGTATTTTGTCACAAATTAGAATTTAGTATTTTCATGACATAGATTTAAATTAAAAATGAAATATCGTATCTAAATATGAAAAAAATAAATCCCACCTAGATTATTTATTACATAAGTTTTAAGTTTAAATACAATATGCAAAATATATGTACCAACGGAAATATTGTTTCTCGTTTTCTCAAAGCATTTGCAAGCGTTATAAATGTAAGAATTGAAAAATATATATTTAAAAATATTTATGCATATTATAATCTAATGCATCTGTGGTCTTCATGTTCTATGTAAGGTTTATTCTCGCTTCTTTCTTGATTGGCAAATATTTGCCACAATGTTAGGACAACTGTTGTATATATAGATTCGACTACAGTGATCCTTGTCTGTAATCACGTGATGTTTCTTAGGAACCTTTGACCTCCATGTTCTCTGGTGATATGTGGTGGCGTTTTAGACTAATCTGGCGCAAAGTAATACTGTAATTTTATTTTATTTATTAAATTTACGTCATCAGTGAGCAAATAAATACCCTAGAAATCTAATTTAACCCTCCCCTGCCTCGTGTAGTTTCGAGATTTTTTCAAAATCCCTTTCGAGCCTGATGTGATTAAAGCACGATAACACATAGATGTCTCCTTTATTTCAAACCGAATGTGAGAGATAGAAAATATGTGTTAATACAAGGGTCACTGCAGTAGAATCCCACGGTGAAATAAAATCTCTATGTATATGAGAGAACCTATAACGTCAATATTGTTTTGCGAAGCATAATTGTGATGTTCCGTGTAAGTTTGTTTTAGTTCATTAAACTGTAAATTAAATAAATAGTGTTTTATTTCAATATAACTCGATCTGTTAAATACAGGATTTATGATACCTCAAGTAAATTTGTCTATATCTCATTCCAAATGAACGAAGTCGCACCCAAGTGATTACATAACTAACTACTAACTGTCCGACAGTTCTATACATTTTTGAACTACGCTACGAACGAATGTACTTTGTCTAGAGTGAACGCCACTTTCCATCTATAACACTATTTCATTATTTAATTCAAAAAATGCGGACATTGTAAGACATGGATAGCTAACCTCCTATAGTAAAATGAAAAGTGTTTTCTAGAAGAAAAAAATACTAACGTAAAATGTACGATGTATTTATTGTTTACAAAATGTAGGCTTTCGTTACAATCATAGGATAGGATAATACAATGTCAATTAATAAAAAAATTGACGATCAAGTTTTCTAATTATAAAATAGGTATTAAAAGCAAAGCAATTTAAACATAGCTTATTCACGAGTGAGTTTACAATTTCGATGTGTTTGAAAACTGCTTATCTTTTTAGGGCAATTTCTATACGAAACAGACGGTCGTAAAAACAGGGATATGGCCATAAAATAAAACTTTTGCAAGCCCTTCCTTCCCTGTTGTTGGCTTGCAGACCCTTTTGTTATCAAGTTGGTGAATAAAACAAACCGTAAACCTCTACATTGTTGACAAATATAATATTGGATTAAATTGTTTGAAAATAATCATAGGGGAAAATTTACAAATGATTAATTAAATTAAAACCTTACAAATATAAAGAAATGAACATCGCCGAACAGTCAATTAAGCAAGGGTATGGGTGTTAAATTTCGGTATCCCAAACATTGCAAAGGAATTCCAACCCAAAGGTATTTCGACAGAAATTGCTAAAGGTAAAGTTCAAGGCGTGCAGTTGGCATTTTAGAATCGCCATTACGAGAACCTTTTCCTGTATATCCTAGTCGTTAAAATAAAACATTTAAATATAACTAGAAGACACGAAAATTGTTAGAAATAAACTACGAATATATTAGAAACAAAAGGTATTTGTTACGATTCACTTGGATTAATCTGTTCTAAATTATATTTAAGCATTTTAAACGGTCAAGGTAAAAAAATAGTAAAAGTTTAATCTTATTTCATCAAATTAATAATATTAGGGCCATAACAATGTGACCTTTTCTTCACGTAGGACCAAATATCTCATACTACTTTGCAACAAACAAAAAAAAATACTTCGATAAACCAAACTATAACATGCGAGTAATGACAGTAAAAACAACTTATAAACTTTGTTCGTTGTATAAATATATTTTAACGAATGGATTATAATAAACAACCACCAGAATCACGAACGGCAAGATACATTGAACTCTTAATTCTTTAAAACCATGTTAACATTTTACGCAAATGCATTAAAAATGTTGGTAAAAAGAATTTTTAACGACATTACGTATTCGCACCATAACGTCGCTGTCACACAACGAACCCAAATAACTCGGCCTCCAATTCTCCTCGAGTTTGTCACGATTTTGGTCATCCACGTTTTGGTAAATAAATACAGTACATAAGTAACTAACTTAGGTAACACAGGTTAAAGTACCTAGTGTTAGTATCCAACATTTGATTTTCTTTTAAAAAAATTGATTGTTTGTATAGCGTAGCCAAAAGCTAGTTAATAATAATTTTAAAATTTTCACATTACATTGGACGAAAAAAAAAGTAATTTTAGGTAGGTAGAGGGATGTAGTCTAAGATTGCTTAAATATCACGTAATTAATGGTCGATCACCAGGAAGATATATGACAATTTTAGTCTTATGTTATTCAGTGAGCAAGATTTGTCGGTTAATGTTATTGTGTGAGCTATTTATCAATCATGGCTGGCGCCTGCAATACACAATAGGTACTAAGATAATAATGAAGCTTTATCAGAGAATATCAATTTCAAACAAGTAATGTGTTCATTTTTTTTTTAATTAAAAAAATATTATTGTTCTTTATTAATCAATGAAAATATATCAAAATCTTACAGTGACGCAAGTCACTAATGTTGATTTATATGATGAGAAATAGAGTTATCTCTATATTTTAAAAGAGAAGGAGCGGGATGACTATATTTTTTTGTACAAATGTTTTGTCAGTAGGAGCTCACGATCCAACAGACGCAACGCAACAAACGCGGCGCCAGAAATACTATTTTTACCGAAGCTACAGTTCGGTCAGCAATATTAATCAATAAAATAATTGAGAAGCCTATTATTGTTTCAAAACATTTATTGATCTATTCCTATTGATCAAATTGTTAAATTCTGCGATATCACAAACAATTACGAAATCTATTCATATCTAAATCTTTTACAAACTTCGCCGTGACTGCGGCATGATTTATTAAAATTTAAGTGAAATGTAAAGTACAGTTATTTCGCAGAGTACAAAAGAAATTTGTTTAACACAAAAGTTTCTTTTGTATAAAAGCAGCCTTCATGACATGAGTAAGTTAACACAAAAAATAGAAGTACTTTTCATTCACTTCATACAAGGCAACTGATCGGATGTGATGTTGGCGGACAAGGCAAAAATAGCAAATGTATTTCTGAATATTGTTTTCTATTTCTCAATGACCTGTTGCGATAAATATAAGTAACTATTAATGGTAAAAAGTTTCTTCTTCACAACGCAAGCTCTTAGCTCACAGTTTCATCGTAAAACTCCACTACCCTTGTTTAGTTTCGTGACTGTGGAGGCAATGGGTAGGGAGTATGCTAACCGTATACTTTATAATTTAGAAGTCGTTTGCACGCCACGTTACTTTTTTAATTATGTCGTTTATTAGAATAGAAAGGACTTCTTATCGTAAGCGATACGCTTAACTAAGGCCCTTCATGCATAAAGTAATTAAAATTTCCAAAACCCGGCGATTTTAGTCGATAACCTACAAATCCATCCATTTTAGTCCACAATGCTTAACACAACGGACAAACAATCACGCATCTTGTAGCTTGTCATTAAAAAAATCATCTCCGTACATTCAAAACATACAAAGTCCCAACATCAATCATAATGTTCTTTTAGAAATCTTCAATTTCTTACTTTTGACGATATACGCTTACACTTTGAGTTTCACAAATAGGAAGTGTTCCTTTCACCCGCGAGTCGGCGACGCTCCCTTCCCTTTGTGGCGACATTTTAGTCGAGTCTAGCTCAGAACTACGCGACTGGAAGAGCTTTAATTATTACCGACTGTAGGGTGCGGTGTGGTGCGGAGCGCTCCTTAACACGGGATATGGAACCCTTCGTCAAGTGATACGGGATTCGCGACTCAATTCAAGTTAAAAAGTACATTTAATTAGAGGTTACAGGTATCTATCTGTATTCAATCTATTCCTATTTTAATGACGTAGCTATTCAATTAAATTAGTCACCAATATTAATTAGTGTTAAGAACATGATGACTACTCAACTTAAAATATTTTAACCAAGTCTGTTGAGATTGTAAAAAATATAGCCTAACTAGCTGTCGTCTGCGACTCCGTCCGCGAGCAAGTAAAGAAACTTAAACATTACCATCCATCCATCCATACATCCAAACATTTGCATTTATAACATAAGTGAGATAGTGAGATTGAAAATATTATATATAATAAATTTAGTAAGTTTTTGTATTAAAAATACATTGCGTTATTTTTTTCAAAGGTTGGGGATAACTGGCTGAAGACACACCCCAGGAAAAGCCTTCGTTTAACTTTCCCTGTTCGAAGAAATGTTTACAGACAGTTCGTTAAAAAGAATCGGTAACCCCAAGGGGTTACTGACGCAACTCTTGTGTCATTACGGATACGAGAAGGTTTTTCGGAGAACACATTTAAATAATTCCTCCCATTAATTACATCGATGTCTGACTCGATATTCTTATTTCGTCCCTGGCTAAAAATTACTAGTCATGTATTTTTAAATAGATTTTTGTAACAAGTACATTTACGTCCTACTAACAAGTTAATTCGTTTACCGGATCTAGAAGGTCCACAAATTCATGACAATAAAAAAATATTACATTTACTCATAATTACTGGAGATTTCCCAAATATATACTAAAAATATTGAAAATGTATATTTTTGGTGAAACAAAAGTGTAAAAACTTTGGGCTCGTCCGGGATTTGAACCCGGGACCTCTCGCACCCTAAGCGAAAATCATACCCCTAGACCAACGAGCCGGTGATAAATGTGTTGAAATTAATAGTCAAATCTTAAATGTTATTTTATTATATTAACACAAGCATTGTGTTTACAAAATTCACTCGCCTATTAAACAAAATTACTTTTGCTTAAATATTGATTAAAAAAAAAACTACAATACATACATCTTTTAGCATTGAGGTGAGAAAAAAATACATGTGCGTTCCTTGCAATCTGAAAGCCATTATTGCAGATATCTCCTTGTGTTAGTGGGTCGCAAACGTGAAAGGAATACTAAGGAAAGAAACCCAGCTGAACCTACCACCCTATTGTTCTAAAATAGGTCACATAGCGTAGCATCTTGATAAGGACATGGTTCCATTGCTCTATTTTAAAAAGAAAACTTACGATTGAAACTACCAAAGAGGTTGCAGACAGGAATGGAATGTGACCAAGAATTTTTACGAAACAAATGAGGACGAAGATATTGCTTACAACGAGACTATTGTAAGTACGTTATCTTGTTCATACGTATTAAATAAGGCAGTCAGTGACAAAAATTTCAGATGTTGACACGTACAATATAATACAGTTCTGAAAACTTGAGATATTAAAAAACTTTCTTTAAATAACTATAAATTTCCACAAAAAGACAGGGCTCGTCCGGGATTTGAACCCGGGACCTCTCGCACCCAAAGCGAGAATCATACCCCTAGACCAACGAGCCATGCATATCTCTCACATAAAAGTGAACGAGTTCCTAAAGGAAGTTTTAATTTGAAATATAAATAATAAATGTTATATTATCACACGCAATTTTTATTTTCAAGAGCAATGCGAGGAATATAAAGATAATAACATAAACATGCTGTTAAAATGTATTTACGCTATATAATATTCCATCGATTAAACTATGTCACAACGATTTACTAGATACCGTACCGTAAAATCATTTTCTAACGATTGTTATGAAATAAATGTTTTAAATAAAAACTTACATTATTGATACAAATAATTGCCATCTATATTTTATACCGTTTATTAATTAAAATTGGTATAACGGTGTTGTCATCTCCTTTTAGCTACTTGTCAATAGATGGCGCTGTGAAAATTTTTATCTGACATACCGTCTTAAAAACTATTCGGAAAAAGGCCAAACAGTCTAGCGAGGGAAATTACACTATACACATATATTTCATATGACTAGACAAGCATTTGACATGTGTACAGTCACCGCACATTAATATTAAAATACGAATGATATAAAATTTTCAAGAACAAGCTATTGAACCATAGATGGCGCTGTGTCAATTCTGTTTCAAATTTCTTAAAACATTCAATATTATTATTTTTTTAAAGAATTGAATTGAATATATCTTGAACAATACATTGAACAATATTTACAGTACTTACCCATTACGCCTAATTGCTGCGGTGATAACGGCGCAGCATCACCACCTCCGGAACCAACAGAACCAGATGCCATGGAGAGACGCTCACTGAACCCAAGGGGACTGCTCCGGCCGCAGCTGCTGGCACCTGATCCCATCCCTGAAACCAGCAATAGTTTAATAGAAACACTAACTAAACCAAATAAAGGAACCTAGGAAAGACAAAAATTGGTTAACTTCTTTAGTCTAGAGATCACAATATTTGGATGTATATTTGTAGATCACAAATTAATAACTATAGCATATTTTGTAATATTATTATAAGTTATAGATATTTAAATAAAGTTTTTAACTATTGTATTATTTTAAGTTGTTAAAATATATGCACTTGATATGACACTTATTACATATTCCTCAAACTTTCTCAAATTCAGTATTTCACAAAAATGTTGTTATGGTTGTGTTTTTAATGTTTTCTTAATAACGGTTTGCATAGTTTACAAAATTAAGATATTTACCTCCATTTGGACTTCTCATTCTTGAAATTCTTTTATTAAGTGCTCTTTGAATCCTTGGGTTGAGGATGGGTTTAGCGCGCCTCCTGGCAAGATATCTCGACAATACTCCAACCACAACAGCACTTGTCCCAACTACCCCTATGCTCCATAGCACAACCTGAGAACAAACAAGATAGCGATTACAATCATACTTACAGGTACCCCTTTTTTATCTGAAGTTTCGAGGCTACTCTGTAATAAACATTTAATATATTCAAAAAAATATATATTTTAGCACTTGTTTAATACTTAATATTGCTTTAAAAATATTTCTACAATGTAACATTATATTTAAATTAGAAAAAATAGGCAAAATAATCCACAAATAAGTTTTCATATTTTTTGAAATTGATCTTAAAAAAATTGAACAAGGTCAGCTGTTTAACCTTATCATAATAATAAAATATAACCTTTTGTGATGTAGAGAGGTGAATTCTGTATGACAGTGTTTGTTGTAAATGTTTCAATTTATCAAATATTGGACTGGCTTGTATTAAGTGTTGCATTATTAACAGTTTTTAATTTATAAACATTCACTTTTACCACTATTTACATTAACACAGTTCTTTTTTAGGTTATCTGTCACATTATCTACATGACAGAACATAATAAGAATATTATAACGTCCTTTTCATTAAAAATTATTTCAAAGTAATTGTAACATACGTATTTCATAATTCATATCGCATAGGAATCATTAAAATTATATTAATCTTGCAGAATTGTATAATAACATTAACCTCTTTTAAACATTCGCGGGGAAAGATGTATAATCGTTCGAAAACAGGTTATTGTATGGCAAAATATTAAGGACTATAAAATGATAACTTTTAGTTATATTCATACATACACAACTTGGATAAAATTATATCTCATTTTGTGTTCGTTTCAATTCTTTCAAAGATTCGAATAAAGTTTACTGAATAAAAAAAATGGTATTCGACCAAAATAATAATATGATAAATTTGAATGGCCTGAGACGTAAATGATAAGAATTTACGGCATAGCAAACTTTTTACGATTATCTCTTAATCATTCTATGATTCCAGTTATGATATTATACACAATATTATAATAGATTTGATTTAATACCTTCCCAGTTTTCCAGTACACTATACTGCGCATGTTTATAAAATGTATTGTAATGTCAAAATTTCGCGATTACCTTTTGACATTAATTTATTTATGTCATTTTCACGATGTGCAAGAAAGACAATGTTTTAAAATCGGTGGGAGCCACCTATTGTTTCTAACAGACGATTTTAACAGTTTAGTTTTCCATAACATATTAATTTTTCACTGATATGGATACATGACAAATTGTGATTTAAATAATAGATACATTTCAAAACATAATGGAAGTAATACAACAGTCCTGGGGACATGAAACACTACCAACAACAATCGAGGATCTTCCCGATGAAGTTTTGGAGTTTATTTTGAGCTTCCTACCTCCATATAAAGACCTGCAAAATTGTATGACCGTCTGTAAGAGGTGGTGTGCTTGTGCTCAAAGTAAGTGACGTCTAATATTAACTCTTCTCTTTTACTAGTCTTTTTTGTTACTCATTAATATTTAAGTAGTCATTTCTTACTTATGTTTGTTTCCATATTGATGCAATTATTTTTTTCAGATGTATTGCGTAAGACGTCCATAAAGCTAATAAAAGCTGTTGCAGAGTTTAATATATTGTGGAAAAATGTTACCTCTACTGATATTGGGCCCACCATAACAAAAAGATTTTCTCATGCAGCATGTATTCTGAAAAATAATATGTACATATTTGGTGGGTGTACTACAAATTCCACTTCATTTAATGATCTTTGGATGTTTGACTTATCTAAAAGAAGATGGATACGACCTTTAGCAACTGGAACTTATCCTGTGCCAAAGGCATACACATCAATGGTCCACTATCAAGATTGTCTCATTGTTTTTGGTGGGTGGACGTACCCCTCTCTCTCGCAATACTATCAGAATATCACTATGTTTAATGATATTCATTTATATTGTGTAACTACAAATAAATGGATTCTGATAAATGCTACAAACCCACCACCTCCCATGGCAGGGCACTCTGCTTGTATCAGAGGAGATGAGATGGTTGTATTTGGAGGTTTAGTTATGTCTGCAGCTCAGAATTATCAAATGCAGTGTTCAAATGATGTCTGGGTGCTTGATATAATCACATTCAATTGGAGGAAGCAACAAACAACTAAGCCACGGCCTTCACCACGCTACGCTCAATCACTCATTACGCTAGATTCTGAAAGACTGATGCTTCTAGGTGGAATACAAACATTGCATAATCGCTTTGTTTATAGTGATTGTTGGATCTTGACCATGCAAGGACCTACATGGACATGGAAAGAAATTGCAGTTAAAAATAAAGAGTGGGCATCTGCTAATATATGGTGCAATCCAGCATGTAGAGTTGGAGATATGGTGGTAAGCCTCAGTAGGAGTCGACATGGATGGAATGGGGCAAAACCATTAGTTACATCGGCAGTACGGCTGTCTGCTCTTAACAGGCCTGAAAATGCACCAGTATCTGTTCGTATTGAAAGGAGTCTACAAAGACCTCTAGACCGAGATCAAAATATAAACGGAAGACGAGGAGTGCTGCCAAGGCAACCTGCATCTAGACAACCTCCGGCCAACATTAATAATGAACCCATAGCAGGACCCAGTAATGAGCAAGAAAGAGACAAAGATGTTACAAATGAAATTCCTAGTCATGAAACAAATGCTGCTGGGCCAAGTTCTGATTTAAAATTTAACAATAATGTTATTGATTTAAATAAAAAGGAAGCGATGAGAAAGAATAAAACTAAGGTAAAATTGCATTAAAATAAAATTGAATAATTTTTGTTCTTTAATCTATGTTTTTTTTTATATTTTACTTTCTTTGCAGAATAAAGGAATGAAAATAGTTAGACAACTGCAAGAAGCAAATAAATATAGAATGGCGGCATTTGCTTGTGATTCATCATCAAATAACACACCAAATGAAAATGATCTCATAAATCAAAGGCAAATAGCACATTTAGAAAACAGATTAGAACCTTATCCACCAGCTGCAGAAAGACCAGACGTTGTATACAGACAGCCACCGGTGATAAAACGTAACACATTGACGATGCATGTACTTGATATTTCTACTGTTCTTAATGGTAACTGTATGAATTATGTCTCTTGGTTATGTCCCCGATTGGGAGACATGAATGGTGCTCCAGAAGAATTAGTTATGTATTCCTTAGTGAAAGGTAATGGTGAACTTATTATGTTTGGGGGAGTTCATAATGAAATTAGAGTGGCAAGATTCACTGAAAACCCACAAAGTATGTATTCAAATTCTTTACATTTCATCACAGCACCTAGAGACATTATTTAATTTGTTGTTGACAGCTTTTATAAATATTTCTTCGTTTTCCACAAATGTAAATGTACAGTTTTGTTTTATGGTTTTATAATTTGTTTGTATGTAAATTTCTTTACTAACTGCTCAAACCAATGCTATTTTATGATAACAAAAATTCAAGTATTCAATTGAATATTTTCATATTTAAATGAAACATACATGGATTTATAAATAGCAGAATAAGATCCATCTTTAATTTCATACATTTATAAATGTTTTTCAGTAAAGTTTTATTTTGTTGTAAAAATAATTATACGGTCATTTAGTATTACTCAGCATATTCAATGCAGTACAATATAGAATCCGCTGTGTATTTGTTGTATAAAAACATGTAGCTACATTCATTAAAATCTTAGAATTTGTATAACAATGGTGCTTTTACACACAACACAGCTTTTCGTTGTGGAAATAGTGATATCGTATTACATTAACATATTAACATCAAAACTTTTGTCAATTTTTGTAGCATACTAAAGAAGGAAAAAATGTTCCAAGTCATATATAAAATTTGTTGCTTTTTAAGACCTGGTATAGTTGTTCATAATTAACCACAAATAGTGTTAATATTTTCAAAATTGTTTTGTCAGTCTGTCAAATCATGTTCTAGCACCTTTAATGTTTTTATATAGGTATGAAAAAAAAAATTGAGACTAATAGAACTAAAAACAATTGAGAAAAAAGTTCGAGTAAAACATTACTATTAAAAATTATAAATTTGTACATCTAACATTGTGGTTTTAAAAAATAGGAACTCTCAAATTAAACTTAGAGTGGCTTTACATCGACTGCTTTGTGAAGTTGCTGGTGTGTACAACCATTCTTAAAAAAGATAACTGTTTGTATAAGCCTCATTACAAATATTTATTTAAATTTTAAAACAAATACTGCCAAATATAAAAACAATGTAACTTCATATATGCTAGATGCTTGAATAATATGTTAACCATGTGTGATTTCTGTAATTTCATGTGTATAATTTTATAAAATAAAATAGCTTTAATTTATTACTTTCCATTTATTATTTTATTTATTGTAACTATTGATCTTTTCCCGGAGCAAGACCTCCAAATACAGCAGCAGGTATTTCTTTCTTCTGCACAGGCGCAATCTCCTCATCTCCACTATTTTCTGAATCTTCGTCAATATCAATTTCATCTGGATTTAGTACCTTATCTCCACTTTCCTTCAGACCTTGAGTTTCACCACGAACAAATAATATATTGCCACCTTTACTTTGGACTGCCATTTCTGCAGCTTTTGCTTCTAACATTCTCATACCATCCTTAATACCCGGTGCAAGATCAGAAATAGTGCCTGCAGCTTGTGCAGCAGAACTTAACATTTGTGCAGACATCATATTGACTTGGGTGTTATAAGTGGCTTGTACACTTCTCTTAATTCTAAGCATTTCTCTCATGGTATCCTCATTTCCATGTCTAACTTCAAATTCTTTCCAAGTATTCCAGAATTCAGATGTTATTCTTGGGTCACACATTTGACTGCAGTGTGAATATATGGCCCTAGCTCTATCAATTTCACCTAAACGAGTCTCCATTTCTGCAAAACGTATACACATCTCTCTTGCTCTTTCTTCTGGAAGAGTTTCAATTGCTTTTTCATATATTTGTCGGGTTTTAGGCACCCCATAAATTTCAGCAGCTTTCTTTATGTAAATGTTAAACATTTCAAACATTTCTTCAGGAAGCACTGCTGTAGTAGCACGTTCATATACTGCCATTGCATGTCTGGCCAGTCCATGTTCCTCCTCTAATTTTGCATAAAGCAGAAATATTGCTTTTGCAAATTCTGGTGGACAATGTTCTAAACATTGTTCAAATAAATCTCTAGCTCTTTCAAGCTTTGATCCACCATATCTCTTTAAAAATTTTGTTAAATAAGTATTCCAAATATCGTATACATTAGGCCATTTAAAAAGAGCAATTCCTTTTTCATAGGCTCTAAATGCCTCTTCAAAATAGTTGTGTTCTTCTAGAAAAAGTCCATAATTAATAATAATTTGCGGAGTTGCTATTTTTAAATCAATTATATGATCGTACACAGCTTTACAAGACTTGTAAGTGCCAAAACTCTCTTCAAGGTCAGCATACATGGACCAAACTTTTAAAGATTTGTACAGTCTCATTTGGACAGTTTCATTATCATCATGATAAGCAACCTTTCTACTAGGTAAAACTGTGGCTTTTTGCATCAGCTTCAGTGCTTCCTCATAATTTTCATGTTTTATTTCCATTTCTGCCCATTCACACCATACAGATGCTAAATCATCTACTTTTGCATATGGGACTTGGGTTGCTTTTTCAAAAATCAATCTTGCATCTTCTATTTGATCATTGCTCTCATAAAATTTAGCAAAACCCACCCATAATGTATACAGTTTTCCTACTGCTAATTTTGGATCAACTGTCTGTACAGCTTCTGTATAAGTGTCAATAATTTCATGAGGTTTTCCTTCATACAGTTTTACTCTCTTATGCCATTCAGCCACATTGTGTGGATTTTGTCTAAGAAGAACAGAATTAAGCAATAAAAGTCTCCTCTCCATCAAATATTCAAATCTTGCTAATCTTAATTCTAAATCAATATCATCATCCTCTGTCGGGTTAGGCTTCTTGGCGACTTCTTCCATCTTTTTACTTAAACTAAGTTCTTCAAATTGTGCATATGCATCAAACACTTGGGTGAAATCTCTCACAGTGGTTACAGTCTGTATAGCTTCTTCATATATGTCTCTAGCTCTCTCAAAAAGACCACTTCTAACATAATAATCAGCGAGAGAGTTCCATAAATGACCCAATTGATCTGTGTATCTTCTCAAACCACCTCTTATTATTGCATCTACATTTAGTGAATGAATTTTATCAGGATTTTTAGAAATAAGTTCACAGAGTTCATTCCATAACTGATGATTGGACTTTCCATGTTTTGACTGAAAATTTTCATTATTAACAATATGGGCTAACTTTACAGCTGCTTCATCTAATTTATTTATTGAGATAAGATAATCTATATACTCCTCAGTATCTTCAGGACATAGTTTTAAATATCTTCTAAATACTCGGACTGCTGTTTCTGGAATGTCATGCTTTTTCAAAAATATTAGGTATAATGGCCATATTCTATGATGTTGTGTAATTGGAAGAGCTCTCAAAGCACAATCAAATGCTTTTCTAGTAGTTGTTATCTTACATTGTTCAGTTAAAAATGTACAATAATCCATCCATATTCTGGGCATTTTATGCATAAATACTAAAGAGCGTTCAAAGCAGTTGTTTACATCTTCATAACAAGGGTCTGTAATACAGCGACCCCTAATTTGAGATCTTCTTATTTTCAGATAATTATACCATAGCTTAAATGATCCTGGAAGCTCTTTTAGAGCTCTTTCATAAATCATATTTATTTCATGTTTGGGTGCACCCTTTTTGTGTTCAATGTATCTTAACCAGTGTTTGACCGAGAAAGGATTTCTTAATATTTCCTCTTCATATGGTAAGTCTTCTTCGCTCTACAAAAAAACAAAATAAGCTTATATTAAATCAAATAGCTAACCTAAAAAATATTTAGTGGAAAGAAAAAACAACAAAATAACCCAATGTTTTTAATACATATAACTTCATAGTTTGAATAAAGCTGTAAATATAAAGTTATAAAGAATACTTACAAAAAATATATCAATTTCTTTTCCGTCGAGCAAAGGCATTATAACTGATTATTTGAAACACTTGATGTTTAATTTTTATTCGACTTGATAAAATATCGTTGTTTCATGAAATAAACTTCAGAAATTATATAGTTCAATAGAAATTGAACTACAAAAATACAGTGGATTGTTGTTATTTATTAAATTACAGAAGTATCAAGATGTACAGATCCAGATTACAGGCGAACAGATACAGAAGCAGAACCAGAACTTAAATGAGTAGCAGACAGAAAACAAAGAGTAGATTTTTACCACACAGAAAAGAAATAAAAAACAACTAACATATTTTAATTATATTAAACTTAAAGAGTAGTTAAAAGATCAAATGTTATTTATTTATTTGAATAAGGCAAATACTAATACCACTTTCCTTTTTAAAAAAAAAAATAAGCCGTGTCATCTATAAGTATGGTGTGTTTAGTGCACTAAATAATTACATACTCTTTGATACGCATTCGCTCTGCCAAAAAAATATTAAAATGGCGGCCGTTTGAATCGGTGTCGGTGTTTTTATCAATCTTTTCTATACTAAAGTAAAATATTTTTTCCATAACATAATAAAAAAATAATCTATAATTTTTTAATAATTTATGTCCTCTGTAATCGTAAAAAATAACTCTTCATATGACAAAGTAAATGCGTATTCGTCTCAATTAATTGTGTACTTGGTAAGACCAATGTTTTTCAATTATAATGTCAAAACAAGGAAAAAGAAAAATTACTGTGGAATTGCCGAAAACAAAGGACCTAGCAAATAGACCCAGTGTTTTTGAGCGTCTTGGGACCAAAAAAACTTCTAGTACAAGTGGTAAAAAAACAAGTGAATATTGTAGACAGTGGGCACAACACGGCAGTTGCGCTTACGGCAAAAGCTGCAAGTTTGCTGTTACGCATACGTTAATAAGTCCATCGAAACAGCGAGCGGCTAATAAAGATAGTGATCAAAAGAATTCGGTTAAAGATGACCCTAAAAGCAGATTGCATTCAACAGTGGTAGTTAGAACAGGGCGCAGTCCAGATGGAGAGATCGATAATTGGGATCAAAGTGACCTAGAATATGCTGACACAGACGTATTGGAGAAAAGGAGACAGCAGTTGCAGCGCGAATTAGAATTGCAGTTGAAAATGGATTCAAGTAAAGATATGCGTAAAGATAAGAAAAAAATGGCATCCAGCTCATCTTCGTCTCGTAGCTCCAGTTCCTCGAGCGTATCTTCGTCTTCTTCGGATGGTACTACATCATCATCTTCATCTGGCAGGTAATTTTTAATGTATCATTTGATTACATACCTATTGATTATATGGTTTTTTTATTCATTACATTCTGAATATAATAATGTTTTTGTTTTTAAAAGTCAAGATTGTCATTGGCATTAGTCCAATTATTGGTCTTATGTGATGTGAATCATAATATTGTTTTTATCAAATAAAAGTACTTCTTAGATCTATAAAAGTATTATATGTCAAAATTGATTGAATATGTTGGTATTGTTAAAAATCAGTCCATTGTTTAAAAAAAATATATATTTTTGCATATATGTATAGTACATTAAAACAAAAGTCATACAATATGATAAATATCAGTATCTGATAGTCCTATATCTTGGCAATTGTAAAATATATCTGGCCCATTGATAGAGGTGCTGCTGTTGTGGTTAGTTCTGCCAGAAATTATGTAAAACCTACATGGACAATAAAAATGGGTCTTACACTTTTTCATATTTACATGAAGGTATTAGTGATCTATCATAATTTACTTTGACTTAGGGCCACCAGGTGTATGGGTATTATCACTATGTATGTATGTATATGGATATTATATTGCTCCAACTCTTTAGTAAGAGAACTTTAACACGTAACTTTTTAGCAATAATAAATAATTAGGCATCAGTGTATTTCTATTTAGTCTATTTAGGAATTATTAGTGTGATAGTTAAGTAAAGATGGGTTGAGTAAAATAGGTTTAAACACTGGACTCTGGTCCAAACCACTAAAGGAGAGCCATTAACAAGATTTAACAACAAATAAAATAGGTTATGAATCTTTTCGATTTTTGGTGGTAGTTCTCATAATAACTACTGAGGAGCCAATAAATTGTTTCAATATTTTTGTTTGCTTCTTGCTGGTTTATGAATCAGTAACTTGATTTCTTTATGTAAATTTTAAAGTTATTTGCCCATCACATATTGTGTATTTTTTTTACTGATTAAAATCTATTTTAGAGATGCTAAACGAAAAGTGAAAAAAACAAAACTTAAAAGAAATTCTAGCTCTTCTTCTGATGGTGAGACCCCATCTAAAAAGAAATTGATAAAAAATGACTCTTTAAAAAGGGACAAAAGTGAGTCAAAAAAGACTAATGTCAAAAAAGATGACAGAGTGTTGAAGAAAACTGATGTAAAGAAAAAGACATTGACAAAGGCAGCATTAGGAAAGAAGTCTCTTTCGCCAGGGAAAAAGTCTGGAGGCACTCCGCCGATTACATCTAAAAGTCTTGCCACCAAAAGTGCTCCTAAGCATGCCAAATCACCACCAAGAAGGGAAAGAAACAGAAGTATTTCTCCTCATTCAGCGAGAGACCGTGACAAAGATAGGGAAAGAAACAAAGACAAAGATAGAGATAAAGAAAGAGAGAAAGAGCGCGAGAAAGACAAAGATCGTAGCAGAGGTCGAAGTCGCTCTCCCAAAAAGGCTAGATCAAGATCGCCTCGTCGACATGGGTCACACCCAAAGGATCCAAGAAGAAAAGACAGCTCTGAAAGGAGCAGACCAGTCTCGCCAAAGAAACTAATTAGAAGAGAAGGCAGTTTGGAACGGCACAGGAAAAGGTCTGCAAGCAGAGACAGAGAAAGGACTCGGGATCATAAAGATAGATCCCTGGAAAGAAGAAAAGAAAAACATGATGATAAAGACAGACATGACAGAAAAGATAGGGGAAGAGATAGAAATAAAGATGTAAAAAGAGATGATAATAAACGAAGGGGTCGGGATAGAGGCTTAGGTGGCAGAGGTGGATCTGATAAAGGCTTAGAAAAACCTAATAAGCCAATGGAAAGACTTCTACCTCGGCCAGAGGAACGATTAGCTGCTCTTGCAGCAATTTCAAACAGAACAATAGAAAGTGATAAAAATTCAACAACTTCAAAGGACAGACAAGACAATCATTCTGACAGAGGTGGAAGAAAACAAGATAGATTAGAAAGAGATCGTTCAACTAAGAGAGATAGATTAGACAGTCTAGAAAGAGAACCAGGTGATTATGAAATGGGCATGGAACGTCAGTATGATCATGGTCATAACATGGAGCACTATGACAGAATAGATGATCGTTTTGATGGAGTACCCAGGGATGACGAAAGATCTCCTGGGTATATTCAAGGAAGAGAAAGACATTATGACCCTGGATATGATATGGCTGGGCCTCCACGTTATCCGGAAGATGAGGAAAGAATTTACGGTGAATCAATGGGTGATCATAGAGGAGTTGATATAGGTAATTATACTTTAGCTATCATCATATATTTTAAAACAAGTCTGAGAAGTTTAGAAAAAGTATTTTTGATGTTAGTAAAAGTTGATGGTATAAATATTATATTTTTAAGGATATGACGACCGGCGGCCACATCACGAACATTCATGGGAGGGTCGATCTGGGTCCATAGATCGCGAACGTGGATACATACATCCACATAAGGATTGGGATAATGAAGATTATCGTGGTCCAGGAGATTGGGGTAGGGAGCGTCATTGGCCAATTCATGATTCTCAGGTATTTTGTAACACATATTTACAATATAACTTTAAAGGTATCTGTTTATTTCCCTTTCTTTTTTGTCCTAGGCAAATGTTTTCTACAAAACACTGTACCAGTATGAGCTTATTGACTACCGCAAAAGAAACTATTCATGTCCTATTCTTTCCCACATTTTCCTTGGCTGTCCTTATCCTCACATTGGTATGCACATATAAATATATTGTAGACTAGAACATTATCTATTTTTATATTTTATACATTTACTTTACTATTATCATCCACAAAGTTTTCACACTACAATTTTATTTTAGATGCCTGAGTGGGGAGAAAAGGATGCCGACATGGAAGTTTGGCATCATCGCGGACATCCTCCCGGGCCACATCGTGGTAGACATCATGGTTAGGTTTTTCTAATTAGTATGTATTAAATATACTAATTAGTATTGAAATTCAAAGACTAAACGAGTTATTTCTGTATTTCAGAAGATTTTAATCGTGGAATACGAATGGATCTTGGGAGGAATGATAGCAACAAACGCCGTGGTCCAAGGAACGAACCGGAACCTACAGTCAAAGAAACTCAGCCACCTGTAGCTTCAGCATCTGCTCCATCAACACAGGAAGAACCTGAAGTTGAAGACAAACCAGTGCCCGATGATCTTAGTGAAATAAGTGATGATCCTGACGATATTTTGGAAAGAGAAGATGTAAGTCCAGTTCAAAAAGATTGTAAATGTTTAATATATCTTACATTTTACAATTTAGTTCAGTATAATGGGATATATTTAGGTTAGGATTGTAAGCAATGCACAGTGCCCTTTCCCCATATTCCTTTATGTCCTGGTACATCTAAAATCGTGCTCTTCCCAACGACTTGTACGATATTCCGATCCGCCGAGGCATTTAAAAATACTGTAATAAGTTTAAAAGTAATTAACTAGTGCTTTATTTTATTAAGATGATAGACCAAAACATAGAGGAAGGAAATGAAGCAGAAAAGGCAACTGATGAAGTAACATCAAAACCTGAGGGATCTGAAAAAGAGTCAACACAGGTATAAAACAGAACTTTTATGGTGGAAAGTATTTTTTGTACTTGCAGCAAATTTTAATGTGAAATCTTTGTTTTTGATTAAGGATACTAGTGGCGCTGGTGAAGAGAAAGAATCGCAAGAAGGAAAAGATGATGATGATGTCGCCAATTTAGATTTTGAAGAAATATCTGATGGAGAATTAGAAGAAGAACGAACAAGAGGTAATGAAAATATTTGATTTTACAGTATTTCAACGTACGTAATAGAGAATTGATATTGAATTAAAACATTGCAATGAATCAATTAGTTATTTTATCAAACTATTTTCGAATAGAAATATGTTTTCATCAATTTAAATTGTTTTTCAGCTGGTTTAGGAGATGCATTGGGAGTGGACTGGGCAAGTTTGGTGGCTGATGCGCGACGCCGAGAACAAGTTCCTTCCACTGGCGGGGCTCGAGATCGTTGGCGGCCAGAACGTGTTTTAGCTCGTATTGGCCTATCTTTACATATGGCTGGCAAAGACATAGTACAGAATATTCTAGACAAAAATGCGGAGTCTCTTCAAGCAGAGAAGGGCCAACAAGAGTCAAATAATGTTGACAGTGCTGTGGTACAGAATGGTGAATGTGAAGATAGTTTAGAGAAAGATATTGCTAGAGATGTTAATTCTCTACATCCAGTTGCTGCTATTCAGGTTGGTTATCAGCGTCCCCTCCTGAGCCCTTACGACGCCCTTAGGAATGTGGATTTTATATAGTTAAAGATTTTACCATACAAAAGACAAAATGTATATTTTTAAGAGTGTAATTCAGTCGTTTTTTCCCAGGTGTCTATCGAAAAGAGGAAACGCCAGCGTGCTGTGTTATTTGGATCTGGCTGCGAAATAACACGTGGTTTAAGTGCACGACGCGATTTAGCCTTACGAAGATATTTATGTCATTTACCAGCTACTGAGCGTACAGGGCAGTCTCGCGTCGCCCCGCAGCCATCTCTATTTCATGCAGCACAAGCTTTATTGATGCAAGAACCAATGACTGGCTGACAAATGCCAAAAACAAATTAAATCTAGATAATGTTCATAATGAAGTATTTTGGGAATGACCCTTGACTAGAATTTGATTAAGTGGTTTAAGTGCAAAATATTGTGTTGGTACAGTGAAATTTTTGTGAGTGATGGAAGTGTTATGTGATGGATAAAAACAATGTGCAATAGAGATAATTTTTATTAACCATCTTATTTTATATAAAATATATTGAAACATATTTTCTTGTAAGCTTTTTAAGTCTTAATTAGTGTAGAATATGATATTAAAGTAAATTCACCTTTTTATAGAATAGTGTATACTTTACATTTACAGATTTCTTACTTATAATAATTCTCTTAAATCTCATGAATGTTAAAGTTATAGCTTCATTCCTCTAATAAAAATGATACATTATCACCAGCACTATATTCTGTTTTCTTTCCTCCTCTGAAACAAAAGATATATATATATATAGTATATAATGATGCTCAAATGAAAATTTACAATTATTAACACATTAGCTGCCAGAATGATTTTTCGAAAAACGTAATTTTTTTTAGTATTGTCCAAAACCATTTGAATGGGCCCTTGCGGGTCACGCTGTATACAACAATTCGATTAAAAGCCACAGCGAGGTTTTGAATGAAAGTACGGCTTTCAATCAGACCGTGTCGGACAATGTGTCCCTGATTGAAACATTAGCTTGTCGGACATACAGTCCGACATGGCTGCTAATGTGTTAAACAATATGTTGTGTATGGCACAACGGGTGTGTTATCATTTTTTTAAAACTTGGCTTATAACACAAGAGACATGTCATTTTAAATTGATTGTTTTGATTAACCCAAATTAACTTTGTTAAGGGGTGGCCGAAAACAAAACTATCATGATTTCGAAAGTAACATTTTCGATTTTTATATAGTAAATGCAATGTTTCCAGAATGACATGAACATTGTGTTATAGACACCATGGCTCAAAATTGTTTAGAACCATGGCAAACATTTTTTTAAAATAGGTGCTGCAACAAATGGGGTAAGGAATATGTACTGTATACATTGATACATCCTCATCTCCTTTACATATTTGTCATCTAATTTTAATTATGCAACTTACTTTTGAAATAACACTGCACCAGCAACTCCTTTTAATACTAGTGAGCCACCATCAACATGTAACATGGAGCCTTCTTTCAATCCTAAAACTGAATTGGCATGAGGCATCTCCATATATTCACCAATTCGTTGGTCTCTTGTTTCACCTTTATGTGTTTCATTATCACTCTTATCAATATAGTGAGGGTTAATGTTAAAAGGAACCAAACCAATAGCTTCAAAAGATGGTGGATATATTATAGGCATATCATTTGTTGTATGTATACTCTTGGTAGCCACATTGGTGCCTGCACTGCTTCCTATGTATACCAATTTCCCTTCAAGTACTCTTTCTCTGATAACAGACACTAAATTTTGGCTATAGAGGGTGTTAAGCAACATAAATGTATTCCCACCACCAATAAAGATTGCTTGAGCATCATAAACTGCTTCAACAGGCTCTGCGTATGTATGTAAACCAGTGACTGAAAATCCCCATGGATCGATAACCTCTTTTATTTTTTTCGTGTACTCATCATAGTTCTTTTGTGCATATGGTACAAACAGCAAATCTTCAATGTTATTCCTAGAATTAACATAACATTGTTATGTACAAAACATTAATAACACCAAGAAAATTGAAATAAAAACTCATATAAAGTATTCATTCAAGTTCAAAAAACTAAATACAAACTATGTACTTTATATTGTTATAATATGTAAACACTTACTTTTCTAAAAGATTGCAAATTTCTTCTTTAGCAAACTCCAACATGGAATATCCATGGCAGTTAGATGAAGAGAGCAATAACGCTTGACATTGAGACATTTTGTAATAACAAAATCTGCAATAGTTCACTAATTTGTACACGTAGTTAATACGTTGGAACTTATTGAGGGGCGTTATGCTGTATAATCTTTGTATTAACATTAATTCCTCTTAAGATAGCACTTATCACATTTTTATTTACATTTATATTGATTATATTTTATTTCCAGGGGTTTCGAACTCAAGGACAGAAAAGTTGAGATAGCACTTGGTGGTTCTATATAAGGAATTTTAAAAATAAACACCATAAGACTTTTCGTCGTGCGACAATTTAAATAAAAAGTAGAGTTTGAGATTGCGGCTATCGTAGAATTTTCATTGCTGCTTGCATTTAACGCATTAAGTTATTTAGATTTATATTTAGCTTCATTGATTGTCTTATCGTCTTATCCTTGATAATTGAGTTTAACTGTGACAGTGACAGTTAAGTTGACATTCTTGGGGCTACCAGCTACCAGATAATTTCAGAATATGTATTAAACCTACTTAGACATTTATTAAGATTTTTTCATAAAATAAAAATGAAACGACAAAAATCATATGAAACTAGGTATTTTAATAGAAATGTACCTAAGCATTTATTATAAATAAAACATTAAAGTAAATTCTGTTACTGTACCCTTTTATCTAATACAAGATCTTTTCTCTACTATAAGAGTACATTTTTTAAATTTATCACGAATTAACTGACGAGATTTACTTCTGGTACTCCAGTTCAAAAGTAAAGAGTAAAATTTTATTTAAACTAATAATTATATTCAAGACATAATATTACAATTGAATTTAATTACACTATTACTTAAAATATTAATATTAAGCATTTATTATCTTGTATCTATGTACATGGGTATTATTTCTTAGATACCGCAAGTTTTTCGGATGTATCAAGTATAAAGAATCTTTCTTCTTGTGGTTTATCGCAGCCCGGGCCTAGATAACGGTGCCTCAGCTCCAAATCTGGGGGTGCAGATATATCTCCTTGCAGTATTTTATTTGCTTGATCTATAGTAGTTTCAATTTCCGACTTCAGATCCTGAAATATATTTGTATGTGTTATTTATGTAGAATTTTGCAGGTTTTTACAGTCAATTTCAATCAAATTTTGTCGTAGTGCACTAATAAAATTAAAAATTAAACGATATAAAAATGTAACGAATAAAACAACTGAAATGCTGACAGAAAAAGTTCAAATGCCTAGTTGAATTGGTAAAAACATACAAGGTGTGTATTGCATAAGTAATATAGTATGCATATTCAAATTTTAACATTTAACAAGCGTATTCTACGATTACTACACTTTGAACTGCGCAACTTTTTAGAGTTTTGCAATAAAAGTTCATCACCGGTCTCTATAATTACGCCATAGAGGATTGTAAATTAAATAATGATACAACATAAAAAACATTGCTAATGAAACAGGTGAAATTAATTTATGTTGTGCTCATTAAGTTAAACAGAAGATAATAAGCTGGTAAATTTAAAGGGCATTAAAGTTCGAAGTCTTCGGTTTTTTTTAGCCGTCAAAGAATGCCGAGAGCTCACATAGGCGCTGTAAGATGATTTTTTGGTTAATCTAGGTGTAGGAGATACTTACGTCATACTGGTCGGGGCAGCGCCGGGCGCGCTCGGCTAGGGCGGCGTGCAGGTGATAGAGCAACAGGCCGCGCAGGTGCGCGTCTCCCGCGCCCAACGCCGCCGCCATGCGCAGCGTGTCTCGGCACAGCTGCTCCTTCAGCGCCAGCCGATACTCCGACAGCTCTGAAAGCACAATATTTGATGGAAATACAAATAGCTTGGTAATAACGCAAACGATAAATCTCAAATTAAATCGTTTCTGAGTCAGGTCCAATTTTGAATTTTATTAAATAAATTTGACATGATTAAATAAGTGTGAAACACAAAAAACGAAATATCGATCCGACTTGAGCCCAATCTCACATAGAGTGGGATAAGTGGTCGCTTCGCTATTTCAGCGATTTCAGGTAGCCGCTCGCTCGTTTGCTTCCTTATAATATAAAAAAAGAACAGTTATATGATGATGAATGAATATTTTTTAGTTTAACAGTTGTAATAACGAAAGTAAATAACAGGTTGAAAAAGCAGCGGAAAACAACATTTTCTATTTATTAATAAAAAGTTAACAATGTGTACGTTGTTGATTACGTTATGTTGTTATTATGCTTGTAAAATTGTTGGAATGTAAAATGAAACGTTATTTTAATTGATATTAAGAAATTTCTAATGGGAAAACGTTGCCTGCTGAAATTTATTTGTAAATGTTTTCGTGAAAAATGACGATTCTGATTTAAGGGTCATACAAGAACAATATGAAACATAGTGTATAAATATAATAATATATTGGAGACATCAATCAATGTTGACATTACTAACGGTTCAGGTATGCAAATCCACCTGATGACGACGTGTGGCCGCGCGTTCTTCGCCGCTGCTCCCATGTCAACAAATCGATCGACCGACTGTCCCTCGCGAACAATGCCGGACTATTTTATTCACCGTTTACTGCCTACAAGCAGTGTGTCCGAGCACACAGTGCACACTTAAGCAACAATGCTGTATACATCGCCTTTAATATTAACACAAGGCCTTGTGAACGCATTACGAATTTCCGTTCTTCTCTTTATGTTTATATAGTTATGAAAATGCGCAGTTTTGCGACGACGCTCTAGAACGCAGTAGCTAAACTATTTTCGTTCCAAGTGTTACTTTATGAATGTTATTTGTTGTACAGTAATTAGGTGCGAGGAGGCGACAGTAATGATTTTATTTCTCAAACGTTGCATGACTTTAAAAAAAATTTTCACATCTAGTCGAAAACGACTCTTACGTCATGGTGATATTTTTATGTTCATTCATAACGAATTCCCTGTTTACTGTGGTTGCAGTCGTAATTCGGGTGTCACCAAATTTAATAGGTTAATTCCTTACGATTGATTCGTAACTCGAAAACAACCATTTCTCATTCAAAGAATTCAATAATAATGTATCCGCAGAGAGTTTAATCGATTCAAAGTAATGAAATTTATAAAAATATCCGGTAGACTTTTGGTCGTCAATAGATGTAGTAACTATGTTTAAATTCGTTATAAGCATACACAGTAGAAGCTTACAAAATTTAAATTGTTTATTGTTAATCAACGTTATAGAGACAAAGAAAATTACAACTGACAAAAGTAATAAGAAATTTTATATATGTTAATTTAATGCTAGCAAGACGTTGTTGCTTTTAAGTAACAAGCACAATTTGCAATATATATGTAAATTTAATTGAATGTCTGTAACACAGGTACACAATGTTTATAAACCTTGGCATGCTTAGAACCACAATATGTCCTAGAAACGTTAGACGGCTTTTGATGCTGTAGTTACAATTATATTTGTAGTTGTGCTACCTTATATAATATAAGGTTAGTTATGTACATCGAAAATTTTAAAGATATATAATAAGTTATTCTAAAAATTTATTCTCCGCGTTTCAATGTTTTTTTTAAGCTTTACGATACCGTAGAAATTGGAACAACAATAAGGTGGAATGTCTGCATTTTTAATAATATTATTTGACTTTTGATAATATTATTAGTTGATGTCATAAAGTAGAAACATTTGTATTTTTGTATGTAACGAATGAACTTAAAAACTATTTAATCTTTTTCAAAAATTATTTTGACTAATTATCAAATACTTATAATATTCTTACCTGAAGGGACAGTTGCGAGGAGAGTGCTTAGTGATTATATTCTTTAATACCATTTATTTGCCTTATGCATTTGTTTACTTGTTATTATTTTGATGGCAAAAAGTTAGTTATGTTAGCTGAAAGCTGATACGACATAAAGTATTTGATGTTTTTCTGAATACCATATAAACTCATTCCTTCAAAGTATCCGAGCTTAAGAGTCCATCTCAAATGTAAATCGACGAATATGTGGCTGCAAGAGGGCAAGAAAGATTCAAGTCGTTGTAGCACTATACCATTTGGATTAATATCATCGTCTTCTGAAAGAACGCTGACTAGGCTACCTATAATATGTTGCACAGAATTAATATTTTCAAAAGGTATTTTAGATGTACAACTATCACAGAACCATTCTGACGATGGATTTATAGGGTTTTCGGGTAGAATTGATCCAGTGCATTGTTTATTGAAACATTTTATCGCAGACAGATTTGTTCCCATTTCATAGGGATCCTTGCAACGCACACATTTACACCAGAAATTCTTGGATTTGTACAACTGGTAGCGCCTTACTGGAGTGCACCAAAGGAAATTAGTGTAACAGGTAAATATCTCTTCTCCGAATTCTATATCTCTTGATGCGTACACTTCCATTGAGTTATCTTCTTTAAATACATTTCTTGTATTTGGCACACAATTATGATTCAAGAAAGCTGCTAATGGAAACAAGCCACGCAGTGGTATCGATTTTTCTCTATCGCTTGCAGGAATTCTAAATGAGTTTATTTTAAGAATCGAGTAAACCGTTTTCATAAATTCGATCTGTTCGTCTGGTATAACGAAACATGAACACAGATATTCTAATTCATGAAACATAGAAGTATTATCATGTTGGAAAAGTAATAACGATTCTTTTTGTTGTGCAGGCAAAAGGTACAATTGTATGTAAATACGAATTCGTCCAAGTATCTTTGACATCTCTTTAACGTTGGACTTTAGCTTCCAATGCATTGTGATGAATTTGCAATCTGTTTGGTGCATACGGGATGTTTCGCAATTTACAGAGCACACTACTAGTCCGCACTTTTCACAATAATTGCAGTCTTCACAGGTTTTGTAACAGTAAGCGCAAAACGCAGTATCGAGGTCACAATTTCTTGGTCCGATGGCGAGCGGTTTATTAGTGAAAATTAAACTTCCTTTCTCGATTTTCTTTCGACCAAACAGTCCTCTTCCTCCTGTAGACGATTTCTTTATAATCCATAAAGGGCTTTGCGCAGCGTCACAGTCACAGCTCATTATTTTGTTTGATTTCAAAATATTATCTATATCACTTTGTTTAGGTATTGCCTGGTGAGGGACTGACATTGTCGGCTCATCACAGTATCAACGAACTAAATGTTAGCGAGTTAGCGAGGAGAGTTAACGTCGATCTGTATGACCCGATATGAAAATAGCAACTGGAATACTTAAATCTAATCTGATTCATGGAGTCGTTTCACGTGTCGATTCTGACGTAACATGCGTTCGACGGACCGTGTTTAGCACTCGGAGTTCTGCAACGCATTTCGTGATGTATTATAGAATCACACATAGATAACTTTAAAAATTCGCTTAAAAGAATCTGTCACAGTCTGGTTACTGTTAATTGATAAAAATAAATATTGCATACGAGTTATAGGTTCAGTTTGATGCATTTTTACCCAGAAACGCCATAACCATAATCTATGTTATCTGCATTAAGCCCTTAAGTTTAGCACATGTCACTCGAAGTTACGCTAATTGGATATTTCTCAAATTAATTAAACAAATATAATTCCTGAGTGCTTTTGTATAAAATTATAATTAACCAGGAAACATGTTGTGTTAGCGCACGTAATATGTTTGCGATTTAAAACATCCGTTACCTTATATGAATGACAAAAGAGCATAAATGAATATATTTTCTACAAGTACAATCAATATCTCTTGTTCTAAGGGCTTATTATGCTTAAAGTATAAACAACTGATTGCCTTAATAAAACATCCACCCACTCCATTTCCTTATTATAACAAAATACATTTTATATCAGAGACATGCAGAAATTCTTGATAGCAAAAAATAATCAATTTCCCTAGTTGTCTATTTGAATATAGTTCCCTTGTATATTCATATTCTGTCATATTAGTTATCTAATGGCTAACAGTGCGGTACGATATCATACGACGCGCATTTGTCTTTTTAACAATACTAACTGTCGCCCGGGATTCCGTCCGCGCGAATAAAAAAAAAATACTTGATATCTTTGAATTCCATAGCTTTTTCTTTATAAGAAGCGCATGTGATGATGTGGGGGTACAGATAGTGTAAGACGTACAAGGAGCTGCAGTTTTTTATTTACATGTATGTATTTTGAAATGTTAAGGATAGGTATAAAAACTATTGAAGTCGCTTCGTTGCATTTTCTGGATAACGACGGCGTTGATAAATATAGCTAGGAGTAATATATTATAACTAAACGATACATAAGCACCTAAAGCGTTGGAACGCAGTCGCGTGACATCAATTAGTACTATAAATAATTCACCAGTTAGCTTTCTTTATGTTACACTAGCAATATATTTTATGTCATTAAAATTTACGACTCCGTGATGTTTTTGACAAACTATTATCATATAAGTTATAAAAGTGTTAGAATTAATTACTTATTAAGTTATATATTGACTTATAATTAATAAATTATTTGAAAAACATTATAAATCTTGCTTGCGCCTTTCTAATCATAAAAGATGCAATTGGTTTTGCTGTGGTAAAAATTTGCCGAATCGATTTCGAGAGTCTTATTAAACACTTAGTACAAGTATTTTTGTGTTAAAAGTTATTGAAGACGATTTATACGTTCGATCTAACCTCGAGGTAAATAAAAAATATTCAAAACAAAGATTACTTACCATGCCATCGATGATTTTCTCTTTCTCCTAATTCCCAGATGAGCCTACACTGTAAGTCGACCACAATTTGATTGGTTTTCGGAATGTATTTTGTAACACGACATAAATAAAAGTTTTCCAACTCAACCAAATTTCCGAAATCTAAAGAACCAATGAGGCTTCCTAATGCGCTTTGTAATGTGCAAATATTATCGCACGGAACCCGTAACCCACATTCGAAGCATCGCCACGATGAAGAAGATTTCAAGGGCTCTATTGGTAGAAGAGAACCCGGACACTCCCCGGAGAAACATTTGAGAGCTGCTAAAAACGTTCCGCGTTCCGTTGGATCAGCACAGCGATCGCATTTGCACAAAAAATGTTTAGTCTTATACAGGTGGATCCGACGTGCCGGTGTTCCCCACAGTAGCCCCGTGTAACACGTAAATATTTCACAGCCAGCCTGTATCGGTTTTACAGCTTTCACGATCATCTGGAGGTCACTATTGTAATTGTATCTCGTATTCGGTACACAGTTGTGATTCAACAAAGATGATACTGGGTACAGACCCCTCTTACCCATTTCCTCTTTTCCGTAGGAAGTAGCGATTTGAAATGCATTCGCATCTAGCACGCAAGACGCTAAAATCATGAGTTGTATATCACGCTCCGGTATCTCAAAGTACTGTTGCAACTCTCGTACTTCCGTGCCATGTTGCGGTAGCACATGTGCTTGGAGGGAAGTCATAAATTGCTTTTGTTCTTCATTCAGTAATAGAGCTCTTATGGCCGTTAGCGCTCGTGACAGCAGCGTGGCATCAACTTCCTCGAAAGACACTTTATTGTGCCAACTGGATATTATTCCACAGTCATCGTCATGAATACTGCTATCTTGACACGACTCCGAGCATAGCAAAAGCGAACATTTATGACACTTGAAAAATTTGTTCGTGTTTAATTTGCAGCAAACAATACATCCGCGACGTATTAAAGCGCCGGATCGCGGACCGGAGATCAGGGGATGATCGACGAATAATACCTCGCCGGATGCTATATCCTCCGTTGCGAAAAGACCGCGGCCGCCCAGTGGAGATTCTTTGATAATCCATTTTGCTGTATATTGTGCTTCATTCGCATTACCGTTGAGTCCGAGATGAGCATGGACCATTTGCGACAATTGTTCTATCGACAACATCCTCTCGCCACACGCTCGCAGCGGGTACTGTACAGGCACTAGACATTAATACACACATCTGCGAGTTTAATAACTTGAGTTAGGCACTGATCGGATTAGCATCGCCAAAATTATGTTCGATTCTGTCCGTAATTAACCGTGTTCGATAGACGTGCGCCGGCCGCGTGGGGCGCGTGCTGTCCGTCTGTACCCGACGCGGGCCGCACACGGCTCCGAACGCCGCTGCCATTGCCAAGCCTGTGTTATGTTATCAGGTAATTTACGCACGAAACACTTTGATCAATGTGTTCGTCTTGCGTCTGGCGAGTTTCGCGATTACCTGAATACATCGTGCCAACATTTGAAAAGAATACGTTTGGACATCTGGGAAATTGCTCGTATGTTATGTAAGGAGGGAGATAGTTATTTTTAAATGAGACAACGGTTGACAAGAGTAATGTGTTCCTACATCTATTGAAAACTTATGTTATATTGTACTAGTTCCGTATGTATTTCCGTAAACAAAATATTTAAAATGATGACGTAAGTAGCGGTATGCAATTTACTGTTTGGCGTACCTCAAGCAGGACGTTTACGCCCCCGATGTCGCACACAAAGTGGAACCAGAACGAGTAACGCGATCCTGTTCCTTTGTGCGGCGTTCGTCCGGATGCTTTCATTTAGCAACATGTCCAGTCTACCTGAATACTGAACAAATGTGGTCGTTTATGTAAATGGACAAGCATTTAATTAGAAATATTACCGTTAGAACAATTTGCTTTCATTTGGTGCCTAGTGTGCTATTAATCGATCACATTCTGGAGAATGCAAGCACTTTTCGATTATCACGAAAATGGATGTCCATGGTACTACTTTGATAGTTCATACAAAACATTGTTGGGCGCGTGTCTGATTGTCTTTGGTAAGCTTTAAACTAAGGTTTTTGCCAAAACGAAGTCTTCATTGTAGTGCACCAAATACGATTATTGCATTATTATTAGGTGAAATATAAGGCCAATAAACTGTGTCGATTGATTGTAACTCTTGTCAGGTGTATTCGGGGTGCTGGTCAACGGTTGGCTTTTTGCCACATTCATCCACAGTCACCTGCTCATTTCCAAGAGCCATATACTCGTTCTTAATCTCTGTACGGCTTCCCTTGGCAGAAACATTCTCGGTTTTCCATTTTCGAGCTCTTCGGCCATAGCTAAAAGGTACCAATTTTTTATTTATTAGTAGCGCAAAATAAACATATGTACGTGCCACTTAAAGTGTTTTGGTATTTAATATTTTTATTTTTGGTTTAAATTCACATTTGCCAAATTTTTTATATCTCTTAGCATCCAATTTTGTGCCAAGACCGATTAGCAATATTTCTTAGTCAACACGAAAGTATAGAGTATATTATTTTTGCTACACTATTATTAATAAGCTGGAATTAGTCCCTTCATCTACACCGGTTTATCGTTTGAGGCGATAGAGCTTTGTTCAATTTAACTTGCTAATTTCGGTGGTGTCATTAACCATTGTTTAACTCGGGATTTCCTTGTCGCGTCCGTTAATAGCAAAGTATTTTTAGTTAAATGGCAATGACTTCTTATTTTTAGAAAAATGAATTACAATTGTTTAGATTATAAAGAAGGGTATCTATTCAAATTTCTCGTTTAGGAGTAAAACAGTGAAATTAAATTATTTTATAATAACAATAGATAAAGGTACTTATTTCAATATTGGCGTTGTATTTTCAGATGGATTTTTGGATCAGCGTGCTGTCAACTGTTTGCATTTTTAAATCAATTTTTCGGTATCTTTCAAATGAATGCATTATTTGCATTAGTATTGGAGAGGTATTTGTTAGCAAGACGTAACAGACGTGGTGAGGGCTTTGACTTCATATTGATAATAATAGAAAAGACAAAGAATACTTTATTGTAAGTTGCAAAATTTTGTGTATTATGATTTTTTTTTCAGAGAAAAGATTGCACTTTAGATTCTACTTCACCGTGGTTGGTATTTGTTGGATGAAGTCTGCAATATTCGCAACACCTCCATTGTTCGGTTACGGTGTATACTCGTGTGACTCCACGGGGACAATATGTTCTTTCTTATGGCCCGCGCTGACGTCTAGCACGAAAGAATTGGGTTATAGTGTACCGTATGTTTTATTATGCGGTTTGGTACCATTAGTAGCAATGTAAGTATTTAAAATCTGATTATACCTTATACGATCTTTGAAGTTACGTAATTTAAATCAACTAATGTATGTTTACCAATTGTTAGATTTCATTTTATGGGCAAAGCTGTGCGTCTGGAACAAATCTATTATAGAAATGAACAGTTAAAAGAAGAGAAACGCTTGACCCAGGTAGGTTCTAATTAATTTATTAGATAATAAAAATTATTATATTTAAACTACACACAGTAAGCTTTCTATTGAGAAAATTATGAACATTTTTTCGCTCCCTCTCATTCACTGTAATTTAGAACTAATAACATGAACGCAAAATTTTTGGTTAATCTTTTGCAACTTGAGTTTGCGAAGATATACGAAATGTAGTTGGGATTAAGATGCCATTGTCTAGTCTTCTGTTTACTTCTCGGACAGAGTGTCCATGGGGCTTGCATAGCTACGTTGGCGCTGTGGATACCGGCGGGTGTGCTGGCAGGCTGGCAGTGGGTGCCGCTGCTCATCTACGGCTACAGGCCACATGTACCACCGGCCCTATCGCTGCTAGCGCCCATCGCTTCAGAGGTAACTTCAGTTACTAGATATTACCTCACATTAAATGTAGGTTGTGATTATACAACAATAATTTACGCACGTAATTTATTGGGCTAGGCAGCGACCACACACTTTTGTTATAAACCGTTGAGATAATCAACCTGTGATTAACTTTATGAGTAAACAAACACGGCTAATCGAACTTCTTTTTGAGCTAGTGTAAGTGAGCGATAGCCTTGTCAAAAATAATATTTTTTAGAGATCTTAGCAAAATTAGGAGTTATAAAATATACACAGTTATTTATTAATGTTCCAGGCAGCAACCAGTATACCAGTTTTATGTTATCTGTGCGGAGACGAAAGGCTGCGCGCTGCGCTGTTAGGGCGCATGCGCAAACAATACGGCCTGCTGCGACCGGACCGCGCACAGCGGTACATGAGAGCATAAATTATTGAAAAAAGAAAGCAATAAATTCATGAAGAAAATAACCTATTATGTATTGAGTACAATTTTACAGTGAAGTTGGATTCATAGCCTTAAGTTACCTGTATGTATACTTTTATAATGGCTGAATTTGTTAAAGTAATAACAAAGAATATTTTTGCTAAGTATGAACAAAGATTTTAATTTATTGTTTTGGATTTTTAATTGTGTTGTATTTAACTTTGTGTTTATATGATATACGATACATGATTCTCTATGCGTCACTGTACAAGAAAAATTGTGTGAATGTTTTTTATCAGTGAAAATTATAACTTATTTTTTGAATTTATTTTGATAAAGTTATATAAGATTAAATTGTGTCTTTTTAACGTTCATTTTCTCCCTTTTTATTTTGATTATGAACATGATAGGCTTAACCTGAAACAGGACGACTAAAATGTTATGATATACATAATTTTGTAATTGCATCTTTTTAATTATCCGAGATTATGTTAACAAACAATAAATAAGTTAAACAGAGCGTAAGAAAACTTGTTTAATTTAGTCGTAGTACGCGGTGTAATATGAGAATTAAGAAGGCTCTGTATCGAATGGCTGACTGACGGCGGGGTTTGTTTTCCTAGCAGCCTGCAGGTTATACGCATGCGCACTCCGAGCCTTCGTAACCCGACGGTCAGGTGCTGCGTCTCTATAATTTTTATAGCAACAGGTTAATAAACAACAATTTAAATATGTACGGAAAACCGATCGACACCGAAAATTGTTATTGGGACGGAGCTTTCAACCAGGAAGATCTATTCGCGCTTGTCGACGGTTGGATTTTAACAGGTAATTTACAATTTTATTATAGATGCTTCTTGACAATTGTTCAGAGCGAAATGCGTTCCGTTTCACGCGTATTATTGTTGACGAAATAACATGCAAATAGGTCTTAGGGAGGTGTGGAATATATTTCAATAAAAAGTTTAATTTTATTTATTTTAATTTTTTTCAGGGCGCATAGGTTTTTTTATGATAATATGGTTGAACATAAATCTATGGTGTACGGTACTTAGACGCGATCTCAAGTACAGGAATCTGGCCGCTTTCACTACAGTCTTGGCTATTAGGCGCGGTTATCACTACATATTTTATATTTTGAGATACATGGATTATGACTGGTAGGTTAGATTTGTGTGATTTTTTAAATACAACATTTTTAATTTGATTATTTTCTAGACAGAAAAATTTAAATATTTTAATTCTTCAATTACTAATCTTAATTACTGCTCAGAATTAATGCAAAAAATTGAAATAAGAAATTGTTTGGAAGAAGGACTTAATTGGCATTAAGTCGATAGCTGACTCTTCAAATATGTAGTTTTAGACATTATTAGTTAGAAACCACGGGCGCGACTGGCGCATCCTCGCCACTCGATCAGTGAGGGGGGGACATAAACTTCGACATTTTGGTAACGCTAGTGTTGCGCCAGTACACCGGCACAGTGTCGGACTTTCTTCCTAACAGTAGAAACATACGACAATCCTTTTTTCTGTGCCTCTCACCGGTCGAGCCAAAATATTTGTGTAACAGTGGGTACTGCTTCTGAATCTTTTAATTTTAAAACTTGATTATTTTTTATAATGATAGGCATTGAACTTGAAATAATGTTTCAGGGTGAATGACATTCATAATTGCAGTACTTATGGCTTTATTGATACATTTTTGGGAGTGTATGAAGTTGAAAGTCTGACGCACATTTGTATTGAAAGATACGTTGTCGCTAAGTATGTCGCAAATGGTAAGAAACACATAAAATAAACTTTTTTCAACATTAAATTGAGATGTCTTATGTCGTCTTGTACGTATTTCCGAATAAAATTGGAGTTTCTGTATGCAATGTAGTAAAAATGTCGTATTTCCTACACATAATATACATATTTGCGTTGCTAATAAAATAAAATTTGGACTGATAATCTCCGGAACGGCAGTATTTGGGCGGGACTTTGGCTAGAAGGTAGCTAATGCAATCGAGCTAGGCTATATAATAGGCTACTTTTTTATTCTGCGCTGATGACGTAGAGAGCGAGGGTCCGCCAGTTCAAGAAGTTCAACAGGAACGCAGAACTGCAATGTAATAAAATGAATACACTGTCTTTTACGAAGCTATATGCAGGAAAAACAAATTGCAGGTTGGCCTATTCGAAGATGGCATTACTTTTTATACCAATGGCTGTGCCTATTCTTCTCGGTACTGTACTCTCTGGCGCCGTTGTTCGGAGTGGGCAACTACGTAAAGGACTTCTCTTGCTTGACTTGCACTTACAACATGGTACTGCCTGACACATGGGAGAGATACGCGGTCTTAGGCATTTTCCTACTTCGTAGTGCGAAACCAGTGCTGTTTATGTTAGTTAAAATTTTCCTACGTACTTGATATATGCTTAATCATTAGAGAGAAGTATTAAAGCAATGATTTTATATCTATTTTGTATTTCTCAGGTTGATAATGCGGTTCTGGACACAACAAATGGAAGCCAAATATGACGATAAAAACGTACCTTGGGTGGAAGTGCGATTTGCTCATGTGAGATTCAATTAGCAATATTTTAAAAGTTTCTTATCGATTCATATGTATGTGTTAGATTTAATAAAATTATGTTTCAGATAGTAGATAGTTTAACTACAACAGTTCTTGGATGCTGGTTGCCTATAACCGCAATAAGGGCTATTGTGATAATTGCTATTAATTTCCTAGGCTTGGAGGTCGACATGAAAGAATACGTTTGGGCAATACAATGGGCTATATGGGTTGAATGGGTAAGTTCCTATGTCTTATTCTTATACGTAATTTTAACTACTACTTCTTTCTTATTATATTAGTAGCAAATTACACCTTTATTTAGTGAGTTATAGCATATTTGATTTATTTATATAGCTACAAAACAAAAAAGTAAGCATTTCTTTGATTATTTCCAAAATTGATTTGGGAACTTCTTTCCAGTTCACTCCGGCAGTAGTGACGGTGTCTCTGATGAGTGTGGATCATCTGCTCAGATCCAAAATGTTTGGCGGCGATAAAACAGAAGACGACATCATCAAAGTATACGAAAAAGAAGATTAATTTTTAGTAGAGTTAAAAAATCCACTTAAAACAAACATACTATAGTATGAGAAATACACATAAAACGTCACTATTATAAAATAAGAGAAACGCAGTAGTAATAAAAATATTTTTTATTATTTTTTCTTAATTTACACATCATAGTAATAAATTACTAACAATATATATATGTACATTTAAAATAGCATTTTAAGTAAGTATTTTTTATAACAAATATTATTCTGAAGCCATGCATTTGTTACAGTTGGAAGAAAAACGAATTTAAGAAACAGATAAAATTTGTATTTCATACATTCGAGGAATATCTATTTAAAATTGCAAATTGTAAAAATATCATCGAGTTAAATTTCTTTTCCATGACCTTTAAGCTATTATTGTTTAAGTTAATTTTAAATGCTTAAATTACTTGGCTCATAAATTATACCAGTATTAAAATATTGTAAAATACAACTGCTTATATGTTATTCAATGTTACTATAATTTTGTATTCAATATATTGTGAAATGTGTACAAATACAAAATAATACGGAATAAATCCGTAAAATCTCTTATTTCAAGACTTTGTTATATAATATTGATTATAATAATAAGGCTTAAATTACAGTCGTAGTTTTTATAGCAGTCTAAGTAAGACTTGGTAAGGTTATTTATTATGGGAAAAGAAAACAAGATATGAGTACAAAGTTCTTATTGTTAAAGTTTGTCAAACTACAGATACCTGAATCTAATTATTGGTCCATTTCAAGGCCATTTGGAAGTAGGTTATAAAATAGCTGATGTATATATTTCAAATTATATATCATGCATTATTTATAGTGTTATCTGCGAATTTATTTACAAAGGAGAAAATAATGCGATGAAGAAATTATGTATGTCTTAAAAGAGGCATGTACGGTCAAAAAGTTTCTTGCTGGTAGCAAAACAAAACTCAAATATGTAGCGCACATATTATCACAGTTTTTTACCTATTTATGAATCAGAAAGAGATAATTATTTCTGCTTGTTATTATTAGTTTAAATTTTATATAATAATATTAAATAATGTATTTTATATCAATGCGCAATGTATAATATATTCCCGAATAAAGAAAATGTATGTATGTATAAAAGTAGAGTTTGCAAGTAGGTGATATAGGTCAATATAGATAAGTATAAAATTTTTGCGGTATTGGTTTGTATCAAAAATGTATTATTAACTATAATTATTGTGCATATCGGTTTTAAACCTGGTTTGTGGCATTACTTGTATTACAATGAATAAAATCGACTAGATAAATAGGTAACATTTTTACAATTATCATTTTAAATGTATCACTTTATACCTAAAAGTATTTATACGTGTAAACTATGTTATATTTAGTATTTTGTTATTTATTTTACAATTATTCACATTTATATAATCAGCAACTGAAATATAATCAATTAATCACTCAGAGTTCACATTGTACTTTTCCTCTTTACACCTAAACATTCATTTATTTCACAGTCACTCTCTACATTATCTTTGGAATGAGTTGAACTATCACTAAAGAGTTTATCGTATTCGCCATCGCCACCTCCGTGGTCTTCATAATCGTAACTATCTTCATAAAAATATTCATTACTAGAAGTGTCTCTTACAACTGTAGTTGTGTATACCCTGTTACTATAGGTGTCCTCAGTGGACCCAGTGTACGATGGAGTAGAGGGACTGTTCAGCACGATTACAGGGTAGTCGTGTCTCGTCCCCCTAACAGGTTCCTGCTATATCTCTTCCATGACCGTTTCCTGATTCCATCTTGTTCTATTATTACGTTTCTCAATGATGGGAATTAGGAAGAGAATAATTCCACTTAGCGATATCGTGCCCGCGGCTACATAGAAGCCAGGCGCGTATGAGTTCAGTTGATCATACAGCCACCCTGAAATGTGTAAATGATGCATATTAAAATAAAGAAAGGTAACATAATTTAAAACGAAATAATGAGGGACGTAAACGCGAAATAATAGCAGGCTCCCAAACCCTGAAGAAGGGCCCTCAATGGGCTTAAAACTAGTTGGTGACGACACTAGGTATACGGGTGAGTGTTAGGTGTGTCATATTTACTTGACAACAATGTCTCACGAAAGTTTAAACAATTTAAAAGTACTTCCACTTTTCGTAGTATGTTAAAAAAGGCCCGATGGAGAAGGAGTTGATGAATAAGGTTTTTTAGTTAAGAACTTCCTTCAATTACATGCCATTCATACCAGAAAGGCATTATTAATTTCAATCAATTAGAAATATTTTAATGTTAATACAACCATAGACGTATAATCTTAAATTACCCGCAAAAGGTGGTCCTATTAATGAAGCAATTCCTTGAAACAGTAGCAGCAGACCAAAGGCGTTGGTTAGTTTCTCAATGCCAAGTAGATCTACCAATACTACTGACGTCAGTCCTACGTAAGCCCCAATTGTGAAGCCAAACGTTGTCGCATATAAAGCAAGTCCCCAAAATTCCCAGCAGGCCATCGCCAAGCCTGTACCTGTGACAAAAGAAAGCAGTTTTAAGAAAAGTACATAAATAAAGAAAAAAGAAAACAAAAGAGCAAAATATACTTACTTATACCAGCGATTGTAAGACACAAGTTGTAAGCCAATAATCGGTTAACCCATGGCTTATCACTTATATACCCAAGAATGATCCTTCCAACTAAATTAGATGCACCAATTATAGATATTAAGTAGGCCGGATTCTCTATTCCTAATTTCTCGCTCATAGGAACGGTGTAAACGTATGGTATATAAAAACCGATACTAGTTAAAAAGTTCGAAAGTGAAAATAAAATAAATATCGGATCTATTAGAAGAGATAAATCTAACATTTCTGATAGAGCAGCTTTAAATTCATCCGAGCATGGGAGCCAGCCACATCTTTGCACAGGTTCTTCTGATGGTTCTCTTAATACTACTCTTTCTGGAGAAGTTCCTCTAAATCTAGCGAGACTTGTCATACTGCCTTGGTACAGCACGTCCGGTCGCAACATGATGCCGCTGCCGTGCCGCGAGTGCGATTGATGCTTTAAATCGTTCGGCTTATTCAATGCTGGCTGAGAAAGTGTGAGTCTCGCAACATCATTCTCCTCATTCTTTCCATTTGCTCTTGCTACATTTTCCGAACTTTGTGATCGTTTAAGTGGAGATTTTTTTGATTTGATCAACATAGGCTCAGAAGCTGGCGTTTTAGGCGGTTCTGGAACAGCTTTGAACATAAGTCCTAAAGGTATGCAGTTGAGAATTAAGGCTCCGATAATAGCCATCGCTCCCCGCCATCCGTAATTTGAAATCAGACTGGACGTGATTGGTGCGAACAAGAATGTCCCCAGACCTGATCCGCAAACAGCAATTCCTGAAAATAATATCCAATAGATTTAATCTAAGTTAATGATTATCATCCGAATTCAATTTCACAAATTAAGTCTTAGCGTAAATATATCATAGTAAATTTTTAAGTAAGATTGTTGGAATTCCTATAACTATTAAAGTGAGAAGCCATGTACGACGCTACCGTAGTAGACATTGTTCCGTCTATTAGTTCTATAAGTCTGGAATTAGGGGTTAAATACCTGTGGCCAGACTGCGATACCGCTCGAACCAAACAGTGACGCTGACAATTGCCGGTAAATAGATGAGACCGAAGCCCAGCCCCGTTCCAACTCCGATTGTAAAGATGAGCGTGAGAACATTTCCGGCAAAAGCTGATGCAATGACGCAGATGGCTGACAACAAGGCGCCAGCAATGGTCACCCTCTGACATCCCCAACGATTCACGAACGAACTAGATATTGGACCTGAAAATAAGTTAAAAGTCTGATTTAAATAAATTGAAAGATTTTGAACTTAACGAATGTAATCTATGGTCATTTGTACCATTCGAGCGGAAAGGCCCTGATAAGTTAATTGATAAATTTATATATAGATTTCATTATTCTTTATATCACGATCAACAGATAAAGTAATAATTGACATAAAAATAATTTCATCAATGCAGATATTGCGACAAAAACATCAAAATATCAGCAATAATAACTTCGTAGATAGCTCGTAAAACGCATATAAATACACTTGCGGAAATCAAATTATATTATGTTTGTCTTACATTTTTTGTACTTTTATAAGATACTCTTTTTGTGAGGTGAAGCACGTATCATATTACTTCGCATGTCAAAGAGCTATTGAAGATTCGTGGCGCTATTTCAATTATTGTGGGGGTAATGATGACACAAAACCTTTAATGGTAAATCTATTTCTTTCTTTTATATCTAATTATTACAACACAATGTATACCTTGATAGAAAATGTAATTTGATGAATTTGATTTTTTTATGTTTGAACTAACTTGTAACCTTACGTAAGGCTACAAGAGGCTTGAAATTGTTTATTCAATCAGAGGACTTGTAGCTTTTCTGTTTTGTTTTTTGATTCATTACTAGTTTATACGTACCCGAGCTTAATGTGACCCCGACAAGGATAGAGACGATCCACGCGGTCTTGCCTTTGCCCTCGTCGAAGTAGGTCAGGAACTCTGCATAGAATACGCCGAACGAATAGGTCATGCCGTCGGCTGAAAACAAATTATGTCTATTAAAATAAATGCTTACTCATACCAGACTTTATATTGCAACAATTTTTCCTATCTTATAAATAGGTTATTTTTGTGATAATGATCATATAATAAAGAGTTAAAAACGAAATTAATATGAAAAAGACGTTTTAAGTTTGGATTTTATATTTAAACCCTTGACTCACGAAGAAACTTGACACTATAATCTTGTGCTCATAATTCATATCCGGACATAAACTTTTTAAAATTGCGATAAGATTTGTATAAGTCATTTCCCTTATTTATGCTAATATAACTTCTGTCTGGACTGTAACAAGATGCCATGACAGAAACAGGCGTGGAGTGGAAGCAATTCCGCGGTTCGTCTGATTAGTGTGCATCCCGGAGGCGTAATTTAGTCCTCTTTCCCTTCCCACCCTTTTTCTTATAAGGAAAGAATGGGAAGTGGAAGTGGACTTTCCCGGTGAGAGGATGCATGGGAAGGGAAAATATTTTCTTTCTTT